ACATGTAAGCATATTTTGGGTTAAGTATGCAAATTATACTTCTTAATTCTTAATTCATGAATTAAATGAAGAAGCTGGGTTCTAACCCTTTTTTTTTTTTCTTTTTTTTTCTTTTTTTTAAGTTTGAATCTAAGTCGAATGAAATCAAAATTTCACCATTTGATTTTGAATTAAAAACGTTAAGTTCTGGGGTCATTACAAAACTCAGATCGTGTTTGATATTTAAGTTTGAAACTGTAGGTGATGTGTTTATGTTATTGTGTTCATGTTGCTATAAACTTTATAATTTGATTCATCATGACCTAGGTTAAAAAGAAAAAGGGTTAAAAATCTAAAATTAGAGAAAGAGTAAAGAGAAGCATCTGATTTGATCAATCATGATCAATATCACATGTAATAATTGATTATGAATGAAAAATAAGAATTTTGAAAGAAAGAAGATGATGCCTGGAAAGGAAACTAGTTTGTTTTTGAATAGGAAGAGTGACATGGAGGGTATCATTAAGTCCACATAAGTGTCGTTATACAATAGTATATCCATGTTAGATGTTTTCATTAAATTAATATGTCACACGAGTAAAAATTAATTGAGAGACCAAAAAAAAAATTTTTAATTTTAAAAATTGAAAAAGAGATTTTTTTCAATACAAAACTAAAAAAATAAAATTCTTTTTTTTTATAGCACAGGATCAAAAGATATTTAACCAGCAAGGAATGATATAATTTTTGCGGATAAAACATTTGACGTGAGAAACAGTTTTTGAAATAATCCAAAAGCAGTCTTATTGCTGATTAGCGGCTGCTGTGATGGATGGCAATGCTCAATTGGTGTCTTGTATCTTTGAAGGTGCTGCATAGTAAAACACTGTTGAAGTCGGAAGCAACTGTAATGCTCATATAGTCTTTCTGAATTTACGGGTTAGAATATTTTTTATATTTTAAAAATAAAATATTTTAATTTTTTTTTTAAAATGAAAAAACCTACAGAAAAATGACAATATAACATTTTAGAAAGTTAGTAACAGTAAGCATTTTATAATTCATATAAGTGAAGTGTGGTTTACCCTTACGTTTAATTATAAAGGTTTTTTAATTAATATAGTTTAAGAGTGTATATATTAAAATTTTTTATCATTTATTTA